GGAGGGTAGGTCACTACCCTTTCTCCTCCTCATTTTGTTTACAACACGGATACAAAGAGAAAAAAAAATATCGCACCACCCTGATTGAGACATAAAATACAAAAAAAAAAAAAAAAAAAAAAAAAAGCGGCTTTCTTTATTTCACCTGTTTCACAGCTTGCTCCGCGGAAAAGCTACCTCGCTTATTATCTAACCGCCCATGTGCGTTGGGGTATAGCTATTGCCCTATGCTCAGATACCCATACAATGGGTATTGTGCTCACGGCACACAATAAAAGGCGGTCTCGTGCCTTCGTCGCACTTAAAAAATACATAGAGTGAATGACGCGTGTATGTTTTGGAAGCTTGTAAATATTATACCATAGTATTTTATCGGCTTAGGGAAAATAAAATTAATAAAATTAAACAAGACTTGTTGTGATTTGATTTTAGTTTCATTTGTGTGTGTGTGTGTGTGTGTATGTATATGTATGTGTATATGTGAGTCTCAAAAAAAAAAAAAAAAAAAAAAAAAGTGTAAAATGTCAACGCCAGGACAACAAGTCATAATCAAAATGGACTAATTCAATACATATCTATGAAAAGTAAAAAAAAAAATTATAACTTATTACAAGTATAAGTGCACAACCATTTTGATAAAAGCTTTTAAGCAAACCTTTCAGTAAATTTAATTGTAGGTACAGCTTTTCTTCTAAACGACATCAGTTGGATTAATATATGCTAGACCCGATTTATTTCTCACTGATTTGAGCTAAAATTTTGATCATAGGAAAATGGTCTTATTTTAAGAGGTTTCAGTGGGGTAGTGATGACTTTAAAAAAATAATAACAGTGTATATAAATATAATATATACCATGCTGGTCATTATCTCACAAATCATAGGGCCGAGTATTAATAAGACAATTGGAAAAAAAACAATTATAATCATAACAATAAAATATTTTTCTAAGATTAACGCTGGTGTAACACATATATTACTTATTAAACCAAACTGCTATTGATCATTTTAATTAGCTATTTAGTCTGACAATTATTTTTAATTAAGACAAAACTTTTATGTTAATAAAATAAACCTAGTTCTGAACCTACTTAAAACAATGTAAACACTTAAACAAAGAAGTTTACAAAACTTGAGATTTGAAACATACTCGACTTTTTGTTTACAAAATCAAAGACATAACCAAGGGTATTTAGTGTAATTTCTATGTTAAACCATTGACATCCTAAATTACTTTTAAAATTGTTAATGATAATTGATTAATATACTCTTTGATGTCTGACCCTGGTCACTATTTTAGAAAGAAATCGCTGTTTTAAAAACACTAGGAAAACTTAAAACGTCGAGAGACGCGCGCAAAGCACGCGACATGTATTTTTAAATGTAAACAAACGCGCACGGACACTGGTCCATTGTCGCTATGAAATACTTCTGAACCTACATAAAACAATGTAAATACTTAAACAAAGACGTTTACAAAACTTGATATTTGAAACTTAACGGACTTTTCGTTTACAAAGACATCACCAAGGGGTGTTTAGTGTCATTTCTATGTTAAACCATTGGGATCCTAAATTTACGGGACGCTACTCGTGGTTGTTAACAAGACTGTTCTAGAAAAATTCGACTCTGCCTTCGTTTCTATATTAGTTTTATTTAGTAAAAAACCAAATCAATAGGAACTTATATAGTCATGAATGAAGGGGGCAGCGTGGTAGAACTTACGACTGCTAACCCAAAAGTCCCGAGTTCGAATCCAGGTTCAAAGACAGTAGACTGTTCCCGAGTCTACCCAACTCTGATGGGTACCTAACTTACGTTAGGGAAAGTAAGGCGGTTGGACATAGTGATGAACACACTATCACTTCATATGCCGAGATCACAGAAAGAAAAAAAAAAATTATTTGTTTATCTTCTATATTAATATTTTTTTTAGAAAATTATAAAATTATAAACAAAATGTATTTAAATATATATATAAGTGGTCGTCAAAATGATGGTTATAGAACCTTAAAGTTAAAAGGTGGTTAAAAAATAAATAAAAAAACAATGAAAACAATGAAAACGTTGTGATTACAACATATGTAAATATTAAAAACCAACAAAGCAAACAGCCACAACAAATAAAGCAACATAATTAACACGACTAGACAAAAAACAGGACAAAAACAGACTTAATAGTAAATAGTAACGGCTATTTATAGATCAATTGTATGAGAAATATGGCCTATTGTAAAGCAAGCCTAGCTGAATAAATTATTTTTAATGACTATTTAAACATATCTTTCAAAAAAAATAAATCGATACTCTATTGTTTGTCGTCGCGGCCGTAAAGGAGCGTCACGGAAGACAATAGGAGGAGGGGAACACCTGCTCCAGCTGGAGTATTTTACTATATAACATGTCTGCTCTGGCTGCTCAATATTTTACTATATAAACATGTCTGCACAAAATCGACTCAAAAGGGACCTACTATACTACTAAGGGTAATCTATAGATAATCTAAGGGTGGCTAGATTATTGGGTAGAGTTTACAGAGGTCTTCTAGTCCACATAAGGTGTCGGTATGGTCGGGTGGGTAAAGCTCACGGCTGCTAAACCGAAAAGACCCGAGTTCGAACAGACGAGGCTCGATAGGAGGGGACAGCAACCCATCTCGGGGAGGGCGACACTCCAAAATCAAACAACTGATGCTAACACGGCATCGTGGGTGTATGATCTCCCACTATAGTCACCAACCAGAGCACAAGAGTTCCTAGATCAACTTCCACGCGTTTGTGACCAAGGCGAACCACCTAGAGGGAGGGATCCATATGTGGTCAGGCTTGGAGAGGGGATGGCGCCTCCATGCGACACTTAACCCCTGAAACACACCACAAATATGTGTTTCTTCCAGACTATTTTCTCTGGGGGGGGGCACTTGAAATTTTCGGGGAGGGGGGGGGTAGACTTTCTTCGAGGGGGCGGACACTGTTAAAAGTGTATATTTTCTATATAAATTATATAAATTTCATTTCGTTCGGGGGGGGGGGGGGGGAAGGGGGCGGTAAAAAAAATTTCGGGGGGCGGGGCAAAGCCTCCCCCGAAGAGATGCCTGGAAGAAACTCTGTTCTGCAACGACCTCAATAAGGGTTAAGGGATTATTATTTTAATCTTATAAATAAAGCATACTAAAAACAACCTACGTTCGTTTTTTTACTGTCAGGGTATACTATTTTATATTGTGTTTTAAAATGGATGTTATGCTATAAAAAAATAAATGAATATCGATAACATAGTGCGATCATACGTTTACCACAGCAAACCCATACATTTTATACTATAATAAATCTGCTAAGGTAATCTGTACCTAAACAGTTGCAAAAATTTAAACTCTATAAATTTTATTGGCCAAGCAAGACTTTAAATACACGACAATGTAGCGACACATCGTTTGAAAAAAATATAATACTTTACATGCCTTTTAAATGCAAAAAAACCCTAGAGATATTACATTCTTATTAAAAGAAATAAGTGTGAACTGTTTCTTGTTATTAAATCAATTTCACCTTTTCAAAAAAAAAAAAATTAAATAAATAAAAACCTGTAAATGACTACTGTTACTAGCTAAAGGATAAATAAAGTTTAATTAAAGACCTCACCGTGCTCTTAAAATATTAATGTAGCAAGATTTGTATAAACCAAGGGACATAACACATGTATTTTACATTTTTGGATTGGCGCTGATTATGTACCTTGAATACATTCTTAATGAAATGTGTATATTTAGTCACAAATATTGTACAACAAAAGAAACGAAGGAAAGAAAAAAAATATTTTTCTTGAAATGTTCATGAAGTAATCGAAACACTTATAGAAAAAAATGTAACGCTATACATCCAACGATGCTCCACAATTGGTGCTGTTCAAAATAAAGTGCAGCGAGAATAGAAATAGATTTACCTCAACATTCTTGGCTTGAAGACGCTATTTGCACAACCACTCTCTCTCTCTTTGTTTGGATGTCAGCTCTATGATGTCATTTTTAATGTCCGTGTTTTAATGCCAATTATTTGAACATTACTTTTTAAAATGCCATCTCATGATATGTGGATTGTTTAAATGTCAGTTTCGAATGTCAAGAGTTGAGATGTTATAGGTTCAGATCTCAAGAGTTCAGATGTCATAAGTTTGTATGTCAATAGTTCAGATGTCATAAGTTTGTATGTCAAGAGTTCAGATGTCATAAGTTTGTATGTCAAGAATTCAGGTGTCAGCTTTGAGAATGTTTCATATTTGAATGTGATCTGTTGATATTTCAATCTTTATAAAACAAATTGTATTTAATTGTCTTGAAACTGTTTTACTTTCTTTGGATAACTTCCCTTTCCATATTAGCTTACACACACAACTATTGTGTCAACACTAAAACTATTTCCTTCTTTTAACTTGTATGTCATTCAGCTGTTTAACCTTTTGCATCTTTCAAACATTTAAGGCTACATGTAATTCAAAACGTAAAGATTACACAATCAAAAATTGAAAGTTTCACATTGATTCAATTTTTTTTATTCAACGCCATTCAACTAAAGTTTTAAAAAGGCGGGAAGATTTAAATCCTATGTACAATTTATTTCTAAACCACAACAGCAGACAACATATATAAAGTCACGTGGTAAAGGTTAACAAAAGTGTACAGCAAGTCCAGGGAAAGATAAAATTGTCGAGTGTTAACATTTACCTGTCCATGATGTGTTGTGTGATGTGTTGTGTGATGTGTTGTGTGATGTGTTGTGTGATGTGTTGTGTGATGTGTTGTGTGATGTGTTGTGTGATGTGTTGTGTGATGTGTTGTGTGATGTGTTGTGTGATGTGTTGTGTGATGTGTTGTGTGATGTGTTGTGTGATGTGTTGTGTGATGTGTTGACTGATGTGTTGTGTGATGTGTTGTGTGATGTGTTGTGTGATGTGTTGTGTGATGTGTTGTGTGATGTGTTGTGTGATGTGTTGTGTGATGTGTTGACTGATGTGTTGTGTGATGTGTTGTATAATGTGTTGTGTGATGTGTGGAGTGATGTGTTGTGTGATGTGTTGTGTGATGAGTACTGTGTCAACATCTTGTCCATATTGTGTGATGTGTTGGCTGATGTGTTGTATGATGTGTGGAGTGTCAACATCGTGTACATGATGTGTTGTGTAGTGTGTCAATATTGTGTACATGGTGTGTTGGGTGATGTGTTGTGTGATGTGTGGAGTGTCAACATCTTGTCGATGATGTGTTGGTGATGTATTGTGATGTGTGTAGTGTAGTTTTAACATCTTGTCCATGATGTGTCATTTTTGTTGTGAACATCTTTTCAATGATGTATTGTGATGTGTAGTGTGTCAACATCTTGTCCAAGATGTGTCAAGTTTGTAGTGTCAACATCGTGTCCATGATGAGTTGTGTGATGTGTAATGTGTCAACATCTTGTCCATGATGTGTTTTGTGATGTGATGTGTGGATTGTCAACATCTACTTGTCCATGCTGTGTTGTGTGATGTGTTGTGTGATGTGTTGTGTGATGTGTGGAGTGTCAACATCTACTTGTCCATGATGTGTTGTGTGTTGTGTGATGTGTTGAGTGATGAGTTGTGTGATGTGTTGTGTGATGTGTTGTGTGATGTGTTGTGTGATGTGTGGATTGTCAACATCTTGTCCATGAATGTGTTGTGATCTCTTTGATCTGTGATCGATTTGAACAAAAATCAATATATTTGATCAATTTGATCTAATAAACTTTGAAATTATATAGAACGAATACATATAACGATTTCCATTGATTGACTTAATCATATTGATGTGTTTGCCCTGTTTATCTCTTTCACCAGGTTGTTTATTCTATCATAATGATTTTTTATTGCCGTTTTGATCAACCGGACCATTATAGTTTGTTCACAAATAAGATATAAAACAGCAATAAAAATAGCGATGATAGACAGCAACATATAATAAAATGGTTAAGTGTCTGGTTGTTCCTCGGAAAAAAATGGTATGTCGGGTAGATAGTAGCACCGATCACACAGCGGGCTGGTCACTTTAGCGCGTACGTAAGAGAAGTAAACAATTGTTATACATCTTCACAGAGTCACATAGGTAAACAATTGTTATACCTCTTCACGAAGTCACATAGGTAAACAAATGTTGTATCTATTCACAAAGTCACATAGGACACAGTTGCTCTATCCTTAAAAAAAAAACACATTCTCGTTGAAGGTGTCAAACGTTCAGCAGACGGCTATATTGCGTCTTTGAATTCTTTGGCGTGAAGGTTTGGTGTAGTAAACACGTAACTAGGGTGGCAAATTTTAGCGCTGTAGATGGTGGGTTCGAATCCCAGCGATTTGTCAATATTTCCAGCAGTTAGTTCAACTTTAGCAAAGCGCATCCTATAAAGTCTTACTCAAGTAAGATAGTATTGTTTAATTCAATCTTGATTTAATATAAACACAGTGTATCTTTGGTAAAACAAAAAGCTGTATGATCTAATACGTTGTCAAATATCACATTGTCACTGATAAAAGTATTTTCGGTATAATGTGCAGTATTGAAAAGGTACTTACATTATCAAGTACTGTATTTAAAATGTACTTACGTTAAATAGTACTACATTTAAAATATACTTGTATAAAATGTACGGACTTCAGAATGTAACGATATCATAGCTTCTTGAATTGTATCAGAAGTAAAAGCTTATATAATTTTGTTAGAGAGAGCTGTGCTTAAACCTAAAAGCTGATAATGGCTTTTGGTGTATTGATGAACTGTCTTTATTTGATACATTATCGTTTATTTTAGGAACATTTTTTCAGTAGTATAAAAAACTCCCGTTCAAATAGTGGATGTGTTGGGTTTTTTCAAAATCGGATTCAAACAAGATTTTAATTTCCTTTCTGTATCGATCTATAGAGTTAGTGGCGGGGAGTTATCAGCCAGACGACACCAGATCATCCTCGTCAAGTCTCTTGTTTTCTCGGAGCTTGAGCTTCAGCTCCAGGTCCTCCACCGTCATAGGCGGCGTCTCCATGTTACAGTTGTGCCGGACGATAAACGGCGGCGTCGGCGCCCGCACGATGCTCCGGTCTTTGCTCTGCGCGATCCCGAGAAACCGGAGGAACCGGTCTTTCAGCCGGACGGCCCACGGCTCCTGTTTGGTGTCGAAACTTTCAGAGCCGGAGAGCCGGCTGGAGATGCGGGAGGGCTGGGTGTTGTTGAGGGAGGAGCGGTGGTGGTAGGAGCTCCTCTTGAAGGAGGAGAGGACGAATGAGCGGGTGGCCACGCTGTCCCGGCGACGGATCCGGCGACGGAACCAGATGTTCTTGATCTCGCTGTGGACCTGTGGGGGAGGGGGGGGGGATAAAACAATTTAAGGGGGCAGTATCACCCAGACTACGGGAGGGAAACAAAAACTATCACCAAAAAAAAACTATTTGACATACACATGTCAATTTTTTACAGCAATAGTAACGTTTCTTCTGCTATAATACAGTATATAAATTGTAGGGTATATGTATGGCAATAAATTGTCAAAAAATTATTTTGTTAATATTTTATCACATTTTAAATTTTTTGTAAACTTTTTTCGAAACCATAAGTAAAGTACTTAAAATTTGGTATAAACCTTCCTTGCGTTGTTGGCCACGTCTGGGACTAAGATAATAGTATTCTATTGAGAGATAAATTTTTTAGGAAATTTCAAAGTTCAATTATTTTGGTCTGACTTTGAAAAATTCTAAAATTTTCAAAATTTGTCACAATGGATATCTCCTAGCCCCGGACATAGGCAACCCTGTTATGCATCTCCTAGAGTATTTTCAGAAGGAAGGGCCTAAATGTTGGAAAACCGCAGCCAAAAATTACTTAGTAAACATTTTTTGGTAAAATTATTTATAAAAAATGTTTGCATCATACGTTAACTTTCTTTTATGTGCTGTTTTATAGTTCCTTGCTATTTACTATTATGGTAAAAGATTTATGTGTGTATGTATAATAGTTTTTTTTTGGCAAATTTTTTCGTCAATTTTCAAATTTCTGGGTGATACTGCCCCCTTAACTGATAAAATGATGACTTGGCAGGGCAGGGAATTATACACAACTAGAGTTGAGCCTTGATTACACATAATTTTGATTGGACGAAATGTAGACTACTAAATAAACATCAGTTATTTTTTTCTAAATCTTAGCAATATTGATTCAGCAGAACTTTACTTCATCTATAACATAGACAGTCTAAAGCTATTTCTCATTTTTACCAATGCTGATAAATGCCAAGTAAAACTTTTGCTTGGCAAATATTAATGTTCATGTATTAAAACAAGTCTTCTGTTCAATTTATTTAGTAAATCTAATTTCTTCCTTAAAAAATACATGGTGCCATTTATTTGATGCCACTGACATTAGTAAAAAAACAATTAGCTCAACAAAAATAAAAGGAAAAAAAAAGGAGTTCAGAATGAACACAATTCTAAAGGTTACGGGCAATTATTATGTAACCATATTCTTAAGTTTAAGTAATTTAGATCATTCAGGTCATTCGTTTAATATGTCAATGTGATCATCAATTTCACAAGAACACACATGCTCACCTCCTCATTGAGGAAACAAAATAACAGAGCCAGGACGAATCCCTGGGGAATAAAAAAAAACATTAAAATTATTATCAGCAAATCCGAAGTAATCATGTAACCTGTGTTTAAATCTTGAGGTGAGATGGTAGTTTATCATTTTCATATAGGGGTTGGGGTAGTCATTAAGATTCGTGTTTTAGAACAATTTTTGTTTTCTATACTTTGATCATAAATTACTGAAATATTTTATTAGTACAAATATCCGCCAGTGCTATTCTACGGTATATATATATATATATATATATATATATATATATATATATATATATATATATATATATATATATTCTTTGTAATGGCCAAACGTTCTGTTGCAATGACGAAAAACACTTTAGATGATGGCCAAATACACAACAGAGATGGCCAGAACCAAACTTATGATGGCCAGCAACTCACCTGGAAAGCGTTGTACGTCTGCTCCACATACATGGGCATGAGCACGAAGCGATCCCGGTACCCCAGGGGGAAAGCGAAGTTGACGGCGATGTAGAAGACGCCGAACAGCGGTATCAAGACAAGGATAAACTTAGCCAGCTGTCTGAAACATGCAGTCACATTTCCGTTAGATGGTACCAGTCGAGATGGAAACTATGAAACATAAGCTGGTTTAAGTATCAAGTGCATGGAAATCAAACTTATGCCTTTGTCTTTTCTTTGTCTGTCTGTTTATTTTGTATGCGTTCCTACACTAGTCGTCCGGCCCCAATAAAATTTTAGGAAGTTGAATAGTACATTTCTACGAAGGTTTTTGGTATAACATGTTATAATTATTGAAAGGTCAGCGCCCCAGTTGTTATGATGGTCTAACAGATGATTTACACATACAGCATACACTGGAGCGTGTGACTAAACCCTGCCCCAACAGCTGATTTATTTTCCAGGAACATCAGATTGCGCCAACTGATCCCCCCCCCCATGATGATATTTTAACCGCACCTCACTTAGTTTTAGTAAATTACTGGACAGGTAGGCGAACGCAATATTTTGTTGTTGAACTCACTAATTGAATACAAGTCATTTTTTAAATCTTAGTTCAGAGCAACGCTTAACAGGACCCTTAGTTTCACAGGCGTAGCTATGGGAGAGCAGGTGGAGTAGCCGCCCTGGGCTCTAACCCTATGCGGTGGGGAGCGCCAAAACGAGAAGAAACTATTAATAAGGTCTTTTACAGCTGACGCGTATTTTTTAATCTGTAACATGATCGTAAATTTCGTTGACTTGTATTTATTATCTCGTAACTTTAAGTAACATGTGATATTTGTTTGTCTACCCGTAACATTTAAATTCTCGACATGTATTTGATTACCTGTGACATTTAAATTCTCGACATGTATTTGATTACCTGTGACATCTAATTGATTGAAATATATTTATTTACCTGTACTTAGCTCGCCCCATGTGTCGTTGACTTGACCTTACACGTGTGCACAGCACGCGCAGAATGTTCAGGAAAAAGAAAAAGTTGAGCTGAAAAAACGCACGAGAGAAATTATTGTTTGACTCGACAGTGACTGACGCGATGCATAGAAGATTTAGTCACAGATTCGTTCAGTTTTAAGACAATTTAACTTAAATGTAGATTAAGTTTAAGTAATTTCTACACGCTAAACACGCGTAAACTTCACACTCAACACGAGTACACATTACATACTAGACAAGAGTAGAAATTACACATTAGACAAGAGAATACATTACAAATTACACACTAGAGATGAGTACACTTAATACACTCAATACGCGTACACATCACACATCCAACAATAAAACAAAGTACACACTGAACACGAGTACACACTACACATCAATACGAGTACACACTACACATCAATACGAGTACACACTACACATCCAACAATAGTACACACTACGCACTCAATACGAGTACTCACTACACATCAATACGAGTACACACTACACATCCAACAATAGTACACACTACGCACTCAATACGAGTACTCACTACACATCAATACGAGTAGGCCTACACACTACACATCAATACGAGTACACACTACACATCCAACAATGGTACAAATTACACACTAAAACAAGTACACACTACACACTAAAACGAGTACACACTACACACTCAACACGAGTACACACTACACATCAACACATCAACACGAGTACACACTACACACTCAACACGAGAACACAATCAACACGATGACACACTACACACTGAACACGAGTACACATTACACACTATATTTGTTGCCAACATCGGTCCCTGTGTAACCCACAAATATCCAGGTTTGGCATTCAGGTTCCAGCAGCTGAAATTACAAATAGTCTATTAGGTCAGAGGTTAAAGTTCACTGTTCGATACATTCATTTTACTCACAGATGCTAATGATTTTAAATCAACCTTAGCTACTCTCAAAACCAAAGCTTATATTTAGCTCATTTCAAAGCAGTAGATTAGCGAGGGGGAGGGACATATGTCCCCGGGCGTCGACCTTAGGGGGCGCCAAAATGGGTTGGAAATATAAATTGAAAGGTTGAGGGGGGTGCAAATCGAAAGTTTGAGGGGGGGGGGGGTGGAAATCGAAAAGTTTGTCCCCGGGCGCCGGGAAGGGTCGCTACGCCTCTGTTTCAAAGCAAAAGCAAAGTTTAGCTCCTGTCAAAACCAAACCTTAAATTTAGCCCCTCTAAAAACCAAATCTTAAATTTTACTATTCCCTTTTAAACAGCGTAGTTTTATAATTTAATCTCCTTTCATGAACTATTTATTTATAACCATAACGCTAATTAACTTTCTTCAAATTAAAATCCTAGCTTTAACCGTAATTTAAAAAGTATTTCTCAACCGGAGCTTAAATTAAACGGCTAGGTCACAGCAGAGCTTCAGTTAACTCCAAGGTAATAAACAGAGCTTAATTTATATTTAATGCTAAATTAACTTTAACCCCAAAACGGAGCTTAAATTAAGCTAAACTCACATATTGTTGTCAGCAACTGCCTTTAAAATGATCCATGGAATGACGAGAATCAAAGGTAACGCTGAAATCAAAAGTAGAGAACATTGTTTCATAGTTCGAACATTGGTTCATAGTTCGAACAAGTTATCCTAGAGTGAAATTAGAAGTAGAGAACATTGGGTCATAGTTCAAACGTTATCCTAGAGTGAAATTAGAAGTAGAAAACATTGGTTCATAGTTCGAACAAGTTATCCTAGAGTGAAATTATAAGCAGAGAACATTGGTTCATAGTTCGAACAAGTTATCCTTAAGTGAAATTAGAAGTAGAAAACATTGGTTCATAGTTCGAACAAGTTATCCTAGAGTATCACGTGATGCCATCACGTCCCATAAACAGGACTGTAAGTCACGGGAAACTTTTTACACCATACTATCTTTAATACATTAATGAGAAATATACGTTTAGCGTCAGAGCATTCAATGCTATATCAGGGAAGGTTCAACGAATGCATTAGTTTAACGCGTCTACATTTTAAGCCGTGGAGCTGTTAAAATATAATTGTGGATAAAAGCCACTATATATATACGTTTTTCTTGTTTAGAAGTCAAATATTCAGTTGTATAATTTAACACTCATATTTTAATTTGTGTTATAGTAGCTCTTTAATTATACTTGAGAAGTCTAGAATCTATGAAGTCCTGTAGCTATTGAGTTAGACTTGAACAAGTCTAGCAGGCATTTAATTATAATACTTCTATCGACCCAGTGTGTGTGTGTGTATGTGTGTGTGTGAGAGAGAGAGAGAGAGAGTGTGTATGTGTGTGTGTGTGTGTGTGTGTCTATTCTAGCAGCAGTAACCTTGAACTTACTCCAGCCCAGAGCCACGTATAGCTTGACCCAGTGTGTGTGTGTGTATGTCTGTGTATGTGTGTATGTGTGTGTGTGTGTTCTAGCGGCTGTAACCTTGAACTTACTCCAACCCAGAGCCACGTATAGCTTGACGCCATTCCTCTCTGTACTGAGGGTACGGTAAATCAACATGTGGAGGTACAGGCCCTCAACAAAGATCCACATCTGGCTGGCAGTGATGGCGTACATGAACACTGTCTGGAGCAGACGACACTCCCAATGCTGCGGGGGAATATTACAGTACACTTTGATATAACTATATAAACAGGGAAATATGACAGTACACATTAATATAACGATATAAACAGGAAAGTATTACAGTAGGTATTGATGTAACGATATAAACAGGGAAATATTACAGTACACATTGATATAACAGGGAAATATTACAGTACACATTGATGTAACGATATAAACAGGGAAATATTACAGTACACATTGATATAACAGGGAAATATTACAGTACACATTGATATAACGCTATAAACAGGAAAATATTACAGTACACATTGATGTAACGATATAAACAGGGAAATATTACAGTACACATTGATATAACAGGGAAATATTACAGTACACATTGATATAACGCTATAAACAGGAAAATATTACAGTATACTTTGATATAACGCTATAAAAAGTAAAATATTTCCGTATACTTTAAAACAGCGCTATAAACAGTAAGAAATATGGGTTTTCACCATTTTACTAGCTTAAGTTATCATTAGATTCCACATGCCTTAATCAGAATTTGTAAAACTATTTGATTGTCTGTGAATGTTTTCAATTCTTCATCCCTTTTCATAATTGTGATGTTAGAGGTGATTTTCTCCAACATAATTAAGTATCTTATGTCAACATGTTATGCGCCATATGTCATCGTGACAACTGCTGATTTGTAGTTTGTTCTAGTTTGGACAAAGGCTATGGAAGCAAATCCAAAAAGAAAAGTAGGCTGAAATCGGAGTCAACGGCCTATAAGGCGCTTAACCAATTGACACGTATTCTTAATTGTGTTCGACGGAATCTCTTCAAACAATAAAATTAAGAAAAAAGGTGAATAAGAAGATTTCTTAACCACTCTGTCAAAATTTTAAAAATTAGTTAATGAATATTTTTTATTAATGAAGGCGTGAACTCACCGACCCCTCGTGGTTAAATATAACCTGACCATTGGCCAGTCGCCTGATGTCCTTCTCCAGACCAAGGTCCTGGATAAAGAGCAAACTCCTGATGAACGAGATACTAGCCCTCAGGATGAAAGCCAGGAACAGGTTGACGTGAAGGTTGTTGCTTTTTGACTTGAGCCGTCTGCGGAGGTAAGGTACGGTGGTCAACTGTATATCTTGTAACATGTCAACAGTCAATATAGCACCCTGTCAGCTGTCAATATTGCATCCAGTCAACAGTCTATGTAGTACCCTGTCAGCTGTCAATGGTGTATCCAGTCAACAGTCAATGTTATACCCTGTCAGCTGTCAATGTTGTATCCAGTCAACAGTCAATGTTGTACCCAGTCAACAGTCAATGTTGTACCCTGTCAACAGTTGATTTTGTACCCTGTCAGCAGTCAATGTTGTATTTTTTCAACAGATAATGTTGTACTGTGTCAACAGAAAATGTTGTACCCTGTCTATAGTCAATGTTGTACCATGTCAACAGTAAATGTTGTACCCTGTCTATAGTCAATGTTGTACCATGTCAACAGCTTGAACCGTTTCTTTTTACATCGAACAACCAACGGCACATTAACCATTCAATAACCTAAGTTAAACAATCACTCAGTTACTTAAAACATTCAAACACTCACGTAACCATGTTAAGCAATCAAACACTCCTCTATATAAAACAATCACATATATGAAACAATCACGTATATAAAACAAACACCTGTCTATATAAAACAATCAACCACTCTCTTGCATAAAACAATCAAACACTGACCTGTATAAAACACATGCCTATGTTAAACAATCACACGCTTACGTGAAAGAATCACTCCCATAGCGATGTTAAACAATCACACACACTTGTGTGAAACAATCACACACACTTGTGTGAAACAATCACTCACACACTTATGTAAAACAATCCCTCCCGTAGCGATGTCAAACAATCCCACCAGCCAGTTAAAGACAACGATGTACTCACCTAGAACAGCACATGATGACGACAGCCAACACCAGAGAGCAGAGACTGATGCCATACCCGACCGTTGAGATCAACTTCAACCTGTTGCCGTGTTCCTGGTGCCATCAGAATTGTGTATCAACAACATGTATGTTTGGTATTACGCACATAACAAATATGTAAACGATATGCATATGCTTTAGTATTTAATTAGTAATTTTGGTACTAACCCTGTTATGTAAAGGTGTACTATCTATAGGGCTGGTAAGTAGGTCACCAATCAGTTCTATGGCTCATGCAGGTTTTATTGAGCCGTAGAACTGATTGATGACCTACTTACCAGCCCTAAAAACATAAGCATGTACTATTCCTATGAGTTTTCCTGAAATAATCTATGACCTAAACCTGCACTATTCCCATGGAGTAAAAGTGTACTAATCTATGACATAATGTGTACACATCCCATGACCTCATCGTGTACTGACCGTGTGAAATACCATGTTGTTTGATTGTGTACACGCCGTGTAGTTGGTCCAGTCCTTCCTGTACTGGTGGTTGTAGAACCAGGTGCCATTAGGGGTACAGTGCCGGACAGCCATTTCTGTGGAACATGAATAAATTATACAGTGCCGGACGGCCATTTCTGTGGAACATGAACAAATTATACATTGCCGGACAGCAATACATGTAACATAAACAAATTATAAAGTGCCGGACGGCCATTTCTGTGGAACATGAACAAATTATACAGTGCCGGACAGCAATACATGTAACTTGAACAAATTATACAGTGCCGGACGGCCATCTCTGTGGAACATAAACAAATTATAAAGTGCCGGACAGCCATTTCTGTGGAACATGAACAAATTATACAGTGCTAGACAGCCATTTTCACTTTCTCGTATATACGAAGTATAAAGAAAGTATTGAACAAATTATACAGTACCGGACTGACATATTTGTTACATGAACAAATTATACAGTGTCGGACAGCTATCTTTGTGGAACATGAACAAATTATACAGTGCTAGACAGCCATTTTTACTTTCTCGTATATACGAAGTATAAAGAAAGTATTGTAATCGTGCAAAAAAATAGAGATTTTTGCAAATCTCGACATTTTACACCTCCCTGAGTCGGAAAAACATTGTTTTGCAATCTTGTCTGTATGTCTGTGTGTGTGTGTGTATGTGTGTAAATACGCTAACTTGAGTACCGTTACAGCTAGTTTGATGAAATTTCATATATAAGTATTATATCAAAATCGGAGATCCGTATCAACTTCTGAGCGATTTCCGATAACCAGAAGTGGTACTTTTTCTACTTTGAATGTTTCAAAAGTATATAACTTGAGTACTATTTCAGATAGATAAATGGAATTTCACATGTAAGTAAAAGATCTAATTTTCTGCCTTCTGTCAAATTTTGAGTAATTTCCGTTGACCGGAAGTACTAATTTACGCTATTTCTGATTTCTCAAAAACGCATGTTAATTTATAAAGTACTAATAATATTCCGCACTATTATACACATCTTTATTCGGCGTTCGCTTGGTGCGCAATTCTTTTTTCTATGAGATTCTATTCTATTTTAAAAAGTTTAAGTATTTAAAATGGATTAAAAATCATAACTATATCCCCTATTGTTTTATATAAGAATATTGGAGAAAGTTTAGGGGAGATCACTCCCGGTTTATTTTGGAACATGAATACATTTTAACAGATAATTAATTATTTCAATTACAACGTGTTTGATTTCAATCTAAAGTCCCGAGTTCGGATCTCAGGTATCGGAGGAGTGTTAGCTGGGCAAAGCAACCCATTTGGGAGAGAACACTCCAAAAATCAAACATATGCTGCCTTGTAGATTGTTCTTGAATTAATTGCACTCTTTTGAAGTCGAAATCAACAGGGGAATTACCAGAGGCGTAGCGACCCTTCCCGGCGCCCGGGGACAAACTTTTCGATTTGCACCCCCCCCCCATCAAGATTTTCAATTGCACCCCCCCCCCCCTGAAATTTTCAATTTGCACCCCACAACCTTTCAATTTAATTTTCCAAGCCATTTTGGCGCCCCCTAAGGTCGGCGACCGGGGACATATGTCCCCCCCCCCTCGCTACGCTACTGGGAATTACGTGTTGACACCTCTAATTGTGTTGGAGGAAATTCCCTTCAATATTACAATTAATAACAAAGAAGGAGAATTATCACAAAACCTAATTAATATAGTCCTCCTTAAAACAAAGGCAAAATGCTCGTAAAGGAAGCCCTTCACCATTATCAATGTTATCAAAACACTATATCGCGGACTTCATCAATCCAACAAGTAAACAAATTTATGAAATAAAATATGTTTTCGTTAATAAGTGATGAAGGGTGATAAATCATATTTTATACAACGTTTTGCCCAGACGGAGTTAACGTTCTTGTAAATTTTTCCATAAGTGGTTGTTGAGTGGTGTATAGATGGCAGGTGATGAATGAATGCTGCTAAGTATGTAATGCATGGGTAACATGCCCTTGTGAGAAAATATGGGATAGAGAATCAGACGCACTTTGACTATTCCGGCATAAATTTTAATTTTTGTTACGTCGACGAGTAGTTTCATATCTTGATGGTGAATTTTACACATCCATCAACGAACTCCCATACACTCACAACCACACATACAACCACATACAACCACACATACAACCACATCTAACCACACCTAAGCTCACATATTCACACACATTCACACACAACCACACACAGCTACACACAATCACACATACAAACGTACACACAACCACACATACAACCACACAACTAACCTTAGTTACGAACCCATTGTCCATTAAGCCGCTTTTTCATGTTGGTAACTGATGTAGGTTTATATGTTAAATCTCTGATATCACATTTAGGATGTTTATCGCCTTATGTATTTCTATATGTTTTAAGTGATTTTGCTTTTTTTAATACACTAGCCGTCCCGGCCAGGCCCTGCTCTGGCTTCTGTAAAAAACCTTTCTGTTAAAGACCATCACCTGTGTGTTTAGTAATCATCATAAACCCGGCACTGCCCACCCAAACCACAACCAACCAAAACCAAAACAACAAAACGCAAACAAAACGCTAACACAATTACAAATACAAACGGAAACAAAAACCTAACAACAAACCCAACCACAACCAGAAACACCAATACAAACACAAAGAAAAAACAAACAAAAAAAGAAACGAAAACAAAAACCTAAAAACAAATCCAACCACAACCACAAACACCAATACCAACCAATAACGAAAACAAACCAAATCCAAACGCAAAACCAACCAAAAACACAAATACAAACCCTAAGAAAAAAACACAAACAAAAACGAAAAAAAGAAAGACCAAAAACGAACCAAATCAAACCGCAACCACTAACGCAAACCCAACCTAAACACAAAGAAAACACTAACGCGAACATACACGCAAAGTGCTCACAGTCTAGCCCGGGGCGAAATCGCCTGTTTTAGCTTAATAAACGACAATAGTACCCCAACTATTTCATAGTCTTTTGCTCTCATTTAAACGAACGCACCTGTTTCAATTTAATGAACAATTATAATACTCCAAGCTTATCCGTAAAATACCTACAACATTTGCACTTGATCAATCCCCGCTAATTATGTAATTTTTTTTTTCCCAACACCAAAACAAAGTAATAAAAAGTAAATTCTTTTCCACTAATGCAATGTGTTTATAAAGGGAAGTAATTGTGTTTTCCTAATTTATCAAAGGGAAGTAAGTGCTATAGGACTAAATAAAGACATAATTAGAATTTTTGTAGAAGATGATATTTTTTTAAAACTTGTGTTTAATGAACATGCCGAAAATTATTACTTTCAGTTTGATAAATGAAAATTATTTCCCAAAACTTTCATTATTAATTTTTTAACTCATAAATTTAGTTCATAAGGACTTTAATTATTTAACACTTTAATCCATCGAAGTATGTCAACGACAAACATGTATTTTTACATACAGAATTGAGCTTTATATATTAGATTCATACTACATGTAGATAATTAAATCTCCTGTTACAACGTTCATTATAGATAAAAACCTTAAGTTTTCTTTTACCCTTTACCCTTACAAACCAAACCCTTCACCCATACACCTCGACACACCTCTACACACCTCTACACACCTCTACACACCTCTACACACCTCTACACACCTCTACTACACACCTCTACTACATACCTCTACACACCTCTACACCTCTACTACACACCTCTACACACCTCTACTTCAGACCTCTACTAGACACCTCTACAGACCTCTACACACCTCTACACTTCACACCCTTACATCCTTACACCTATACATCTCTACACGTCTAACCCAACCCTAATGACACCATCACTGCTATCACCAATCCCCCCTTCCCCCGGTTCAAACCACGACTGCATGTATGTGTAACAGTGATAAGAAAAAACGTTTTAAAAACAAACAAATCCCCAAAATACGCCTTTTAATTCTCCTCCACTCCCAACCCACGCCTCATATCACACAATCAAAACATCACCCCACCCCTCACACCCTATCCCCCCAACTTCGAGGTCACCGTACGTAAACATCCCCACCCACGGTGATACATTCCCCCATTGTTCACCACCCCTTTAAAGACCACTTGCTCATCTTGATGCCACTATCTGCATGCAAGCAGGCGGCTTCTAGTCGAGCGCTACCAATTGTCTGAAGAACCGCCCGGCTACCCGTACATTGACTGCCAGATTTAAAAACCTGAGGGCGAGTCGCCCGCCAACCCGGCAAGTCTGATAACCCAACACTATTTTTATTCAAGTTGAGATAACTCTTTCAGCATGTCACGTCCCACCCAGTTGCACACCCCACAGCTATAAAGATACATTTATTAGTACATACGTGTACATTTATGGAACGGCGTGGTTGGGGGGTAGAGCGATCGACTGCTAAACCGAATGTTCGGAACTCGGTCTTTACTTAAGTCTGAACCTATCCAGCTCTAAAGAGTACCTGACTTGCGTGATTCAACCACACCCTTAAAAACTGATAATTAATATAATCTTGACTTCATCTTAGCTACTGATCAGTTGTCTGAAAGGGGAACTACTAATTTAGTTGTAAATTTAACGTCTAAAGTGAAGTTAAAAAAAAGTAATCATGAATAAAAAATTTATCTTAGTACTCATACATACCTCCTACCCAAAAAAAAAACCAACAATAAACTGACATAAATTACATACAGATATTTAAAGATACATTTCAAATATAAATGTATCATTATATAGGATACAATCCTAACATTTATTTTTAAAAAATGCAGCATGTTCTTGAAAATACAAACCAAAACAGAATACGATCCTAACGTATGGAATACAATTTGTCGTAGCGTAAAAAATAACATGTATCAACACAGCCACACTTGAAACCACACACCACACAGCCACACTTGAAACCACCCGCCACACACAGAATTTCTTTCACACATCAATTACAGGGTGGGGAGTATTTGAAACATCCGGGGTCGGTGTAATGGTTGAAGTATATATTTTCTAATTTCATTTATTTATTTATTTTCATGCGGAAGAAG